CATGGACAAGGGACGCATAATATATCAAATTATAAGATATTTTTAGATTAAATTTTACATATTAATAAATCTCATTAAATATATTTAATAACCTTATCTTTCTAAAACAAAAATATAAACTTTTAAAAATACCTACCATTCAATATATTGAAAAGAGAAGGGACAAAATTAATTATAGAAAGAGAAAAAGTAAATTTGAAATTAGTACGTTTAATGAAACTTTAATATATTCAAAATGTCTTATATTTTAAAATGAAGAAATCCCTTCTAAAGTGACTTATAATTTAAAACAAATGGAGTATAATAGACGGATGGAATATAATATATGTCGTGCACAGAAGAATCTCTTGCCTACCCATATGAAGCTTTTGTCAACAGGTTTTGGATCCCCCTCTTCCTTCATGGTTCTAAATCAATCTCATTTTTGGAATTTGAACACTCCTTGTATGCATGCATGTATGGCTCTTTTTATGAGAAAGAAATGCTTCAGCGAAGAACCATCCATTTATCCCTTCAGGAGCATGAATGACTCATCCCTCTTCACCACTTTCTCTATTTCCTATACAATTCGTACGTCTTTCTTTCCCTTTCACGACCCAAACCTTCCATACCTAGCTAGCCAGTAGCTTGCAAAACATGCACGTAGCAATGTTGATAGATCAATGTAAATTACTGCACACTGATGACGGGGAATCTCATGCATGAACGAGATGCTTATTTTTACAACAGGTAGACGTTATAGTGTTTGATGTTTAGATTGTCAAGGACCATGTTGTAGAGCAGTAGAGATGAAGATTGGCATGCTTTCTAGTGATGGGAGATTGCCTAGTTGCACAAATGAAGATCGCTTGCCAAGATCCGTGAAAATTACTAACTAGAGGAATCAAATTCAAAAGTCCTATTGACTAATATCGATTTATAATAATATATACAAATAATTATATATAAGCTAGCTAAGTAAAAAAAAAATACTTTTAAACAAATACAAGAGCATCAAATTTCGCAACAAAAAACCACCCTTATCTTTCTCCATTAACCTCAAGTCGTAACCTTTACTTAGTACTAAATTACTTAGTTAAAAATAGATTAACTCAAGCCATTATAAGAAACCTATTGAGCTTTCAATAGGGGTGTACAACATGCACAAAAATACAACAATAATATCAATAAATCTCCCTAACAATTTTATCACTTTCAATAATATTACAATATAGAATCTCACTTAACAAAAACATTTCAAAATACATAGTTATAATTCTACTATTTATTTCTCAATAAACATATCCCCATAATTTCTCAACAAATATCTCGACATATTTTTCAAATAATCAAAGAAGTAACAATAGGCAACAATAATCACACAATAAAACATAATTACCTCATGGCTTTAATAATAATTTACCCTTTTCAATTTTCCTTCCTCCATCATCTTCATCAATACAATTCACAATAGTTTTTCACATCACATAATTTTAGTTTCAATTTTTGAAACGAATAAACAACTCTAATCATAGAGTTTGAGAAAATAACTTACCTTTCTCAATTTCAGTATTTATGCTAATATAAGGTAAGTATAACCAACTAAAGTTCTAACTCCCTTACTAACATAATCACACCTTAACAAATCATAATCAATCACCCAAACCATTTCTAACACTATAATTTTTCTCTTTTCTATTTCATAAATTCGTATTATAATTTTTCAAAAATTACAAACTTAGTCTCAAGTATAGAATCATCATTTTAAAATTTTATAACATATTTATAATCCCAAATAAACATTTAAACATCATAAATCCTCTTGCACTTTAAGATTTAACAACAACTCAACCATAATAACTTAGGGTTTAACCCATAAGCTTCAAATTCAAATTTCATCAATAAAATAATAATCTAAAGCATTTATCATACTTCCAACAACCTCAACAATAATATTTATCCTATATAAATTCAGATTACTTTCCACCCATGAAAATCCTAACTGAAAATCTTCTAAGAACCAACCAAAAATCAGTGTATAAAGCAAGAGGAGGGAGCTAGGAACTTATCTTAAGTGGTTTCTAAGCTCAAAATCACTCCAAAGGAATCCAAAATTTGTGAGCAAAGCAAGATAGCTACTCTCTGTTTCTCCCAAAACTCTCCCATTTTTTATATGAAACAACAAGGATTAATGAAAATTTTTGTCCGCGAGCGATCATAACAATGTTATACCTATCTATGTGCAAAGAACTCAACTTAAATGAAGTCGGCCTTTCTCTTTGCGAGAAACCTCATTTGCCACTCTTGTGAGGCAGAGGAAAATCTAGACCGTCCAAATGTAATCTGGAGGGTCCAGATTTAATATTGCTATTTTTACTATTTATTTATTTTTAAAATAAAAAATATATTTTTTAAAATAAAAATATATAAAAATTCTAACAAAAATTTTTAATAAATATACTTATCAATTTGACAATTCATATTTAATATACATGATCTAAATTTAATATTAAATTTTTAATAAATTTACTATTCTATTCAAAATATGTTTACACCATTCAAAATATATCTGAAAAATTAATTTAAATTTTTTATATTAAATTTGATTCATCTATATTAAATCTAAACTTTCACATTAATAAGTATATTTATTAGTTTTTTTTAAAATTTTATATATTTTTATTTTAAAAATATAAATAAAAAATATTAAAATTAACTGTTTAGATTAAATCTGAACAGTTTAAATCTCCCACTGCCCCTTAAGGCAGAGGAGGCTTCTCCCCCAACTTAAACCAGCCCTTTGCCTCTGACAACGTGTGGTCGAGACCTGTGGAATGCTTGTTCGCGCAAAGTTAATGCAAAATGGGCAGATTCTATTCAAGCCTACAATTTTGGGCCCAATCCAGACCAACACTTATTTTGGGCCCTAATTAACACTCTTCTAGTATTCTAGGCCCAAATAAACCATCGTGCAGTGTCTAAACATTTGATTAACCTCAAATAGTTTTAAATACAAATTTATTCCACAATCAAAACTCAAAATAATATCAATCTTAATTTTAAATCCTTAGTTTCCATAATTAATTCCTTAAATAAAAATGCTCATATTCATTGTAAGAATTTAGGAAAAATCATAATTTTAATTTAATTCAAAAAAATTTTGTTACATCTGGAAGGCATGAATCCTTGACCACTATTTAAGAGACATTCAGAATTCTCCCACCTGGAATTTGAAAATCGAACACAATAAGCTTATGCCATAAGAGAAAATAGTCAATTCACACACTACAGTTTAGAAAATTTGATTAAGTATAATAATTATGAGAAACAATTTGAGGAAAATGTAATAAATGCTTTTTGAAATTTACGGTTTTACTTATAAATAAAAACAAAGAAGCAAATGGCCGGTAGTTTCTCTTATATTTCAAACTGGAGTACAACTCAAAAACACAGTGTTTCATTAATCATTATGAATACATATGAACCATTTGATATTTGAATTCATCCCCATAAAATAATGAAGCTTATGAAAAATCATGAAGCTAAAATCAAGCCCAAAAAAGAAAGGAAAAGAAAGTGGATGGCTATGATCAATTCGAAAAATTAAATGGCTCAAATTTGTCTGCAACTAATAAAATGTTTTTTCCCGATCACAAGATTAGACCTATTACATTAAACATTCAAAATCCCTATATACTTCCTCCAAACCAAAATATAAGGCATTGATAACTAATTCATGATTATTAAAAAATATTAGTTGAAATCTTAATTTCTTAAAAAAATTTACATCTTTTCATTTTTATCCTCATTAAATATCCTATATAAGTACATTAATAATAATAATTAAAATTTCCATACATCATGTTTTTCAAAATGAGTAATAAATGAAATAGGGGTATAGTTGAAAAAATAATTATAAAAATTATTCAACATCTTATATTTTGAACTAAACAAAGTTTTTAAAAAATATTCTATATTGTGGTCAGGAAGGATTATGTGCTAGTAGAGTGAGATTTCAATATAGGCTAAAATTCATTTCAATATGAGATATATTTATACAAAGAAAAAAGATCTATCAAGAAATAAAATAATAACAGAAAATAAAATAGTTATAATCATCCTAACTATAAATATACAAAATAATATATATTATTAAAAATCTAATATTGCCATATGTTATAAATACAAATGTCTTTAATATAAAAAGACACTTAACATGTAATAACAAATGTTATTATCAGGTTCAATTGGAGGTAACTTTTTTTAAAATATTTTTTTACATTTACATGTACTCAAACTTGAGATTATTATCATATGATTTATAATTAATTTCCATAAAACGATATGTAAATCCTAAAATAATATAAACCCCACCAAACCCAATTTAATTTCAAGTTAAACGAGTTTAAATGGACTTGGCTAATTTTCTCAACTCTATACATGGATTTGAATTTGATAACTATACTTAATATAAGTATTAAATAACTGTACAATCTAAACTATTAAAATCTATATTAATGATTAAGATAAATTCACTTATTTATTAATCTTAAGTGAAGCATAAATTTATAATTATTGATTTAAATTTTAATAATTTAGATGATACAGACATTGACTGTATTTTAATGCAATAAGTGAATTCAAATCCTACATGAGACATGATTACTCATGACGACCTTGGTAACGATCCATTCACAGTAACAAACTCGCAACAACTCATAAGTAGCTGTCCACACAGTAATCAAGACTCACATTTATGAACCCTTCATGCATACATAGTACGTGCCACCCTCACTGCTTCCTTATTTGTGTCTCACCTCTTCCTTCATGTGTTCCACATTTCAGTTTGTTTTTTCTCACAATAAAATACTCTTCTTTCAGTTTCAGTTTTTTATTGCCAGCCTGCATCTCACTCATCATCATCATCACCTTCTCTCTCTCTCTCTCTCTGTAAACTCCTTCCCCACCACCACTATCTTCTCTAACTATTTCCATTGAATCTCATCTCCATCTGCTACACCATGACGCTGCAGAAGAAGCTTGATGAGCATGATGATCATGATCATCATCAGCTTCACTTTGTTTTGATACCCTTCATGACCCCAGGTCATCTTCTTCCCATGGTGGACATAGCCATAATGTTGGCTCGCCAGAATCTCAAGGTGACTATACTCACTACACCCCTCAACGCAGTTCGAGTCAGACCCGACATTGAGAAAGAGATCCGGTCGGGTTCAACTCTCCACCTTCGACTCTTTCAGTTCCCAAATGCTGAAGCTGGTGTGCCTCAGGGATGTGAGAGCTTTGATACCTTACCTGCAGCAGATCTTCGGTTTAACTTCATGAAAGCTTTGTTGATGTTGCAGAAGCCACTTGAACAGCTCTTTGAAAACCTTAATCCATCTCCAACCTGTGTCATTTATGACCCTTACATTCCATCTGTAGCTTCTGTAGCCAAAAAGTTCCGAGTTCCAGGAATTACATTCGATGGAACAAACTGTTTCAAAATGTTGTGCAATCACAACCTGCGTGAATATTCCAATGTCTACCAGAATGTCGTCGTGTCTGGTTCATCAGAACCAGTCCTTGTCCCTGGATTGCCTCATAAGATTGAGTTTAAAAGATGTCAGCTTCATTCCTTATTCTTTAATGCCCCCACAAAGCTGGACGCTGAGTTTCGTGACAAAGTATGGGAAGCTGAAGAAGAAGCATTTGGAGTGCTTGTGAATAGCTTTCAAGAGTTGGAAGATGAGTATCTTAAAGAGTACACAAAAGCCTCAGGAAAAAATGTCTATTGTATCGGTCCTGTCTCTTTATCCATCAAAGACAACTTGGACAAAGCTCAAAGAGGCAAGACAGACTCGAACCAAGAAGGGCAATACTTGAAGTGGCTTGATTCATGGCCTGCAAGATCTGTCATCTATGTCTGCCTTGGAAGCTTAAACAACGTAACGCCAGAACAATTAATGGAGCTTGGTTTGGGGCTGGAAGCTACAGAGAGACCATTCATTCTGGTTCTGAGAGGAGCATACAAAAGAGAGGAAATGGAGAAGCTGCTGAAGGAAGATGGATTAGAAGAGAGAGTGAAAGAAAGAGGACAGATAATAAGAGGTTGGGTTCCACAAGTTCTGATACTGTCACACAAAGCAATTGGAGCATTCTTAACACACTGTGGATGGAACTCAACACTTGAAGGGATATGCAGTGGAGTGCCCTTAATAACATTTCCTTTGTTCGCAGAACAGTTTTATAATGAGAAGCTTGTAGTGCAGGTGCTGGAGATAGGTGTGAGGTTGGGAGTTGAGAGTGCCATGAATTTTGGGGAAGAGGAAAAGTATGGGGTTCAGGTGAAGAAGGAAAAAGTGAAGGAGGCAATAGAGAAAGTGATGAGTGAAGAAGATGAAGAAAGTGAAAGGATAAGAGAGAGAGCAAGAAATTATGCAGAGAAAGCAAACAAGGCAATGGAGAAAGATGGATCTTCTGTTCTGAACATGTCAGTGCTGATTCAAGACATGATAATACAACAACAGGTCATAGGATTGAATTGAACGAAGCTAATGAGAGAAGCCACACCGCTCAGAGACCAAAAGCACCAAGAATTTGTCTTTTCTCGAGTTTGGTATCTGAATACTGGTGTTGAGTTTAGCCCGTACTGTTGCTAATTTTTTCTGATCTTTTTCGGTTTTGCTTGTTTTGGACGAAAATTTGTAACAGTTTGCGTGTAATCTGGAGAAAGAGATGAGTGCATTAGTAACTTGAACCCGCGTTGGCGGTTCAAACAAACAAATTTACATTATAGATTTTTTTTTTTTTTTTTTTGCATTTAGATGATCGTTACTTTAATTGTTTCTTGATTAATTGGATAAATTTCAAGACAACAAAAATTTTTAATTTTGAATATTCACAAAAGTAAATACAGATTATGCAAATGCAAATAGAATTCTTTCAACTGTAAGAATTTAAATCATGTATGCGGTTGTGTTGTTATAAATGCAAATATGACTCTCTAAATATTTAAACTTCTAAATATGCATGGAAGTAAATGATACACGGAATGGATAATGCTAATTTATCATCCTTTCATACATATTGTACACAGAGAAAAAATATTATATATTGACATTTTAACAAATAAGATATCATAAATTAATTTCACCCAAAAAAAAAACGCAGAGATTGATGAATTAAACATATTTTTTGTAAATCATATAGAGTTTTAAGAATAAGTTGTATTATTCACAGCTTATACATATTTCCATTAGGTAAATTTGATTTTTTTTTTTAGGACTTTGATATATTATTTATATTTTATACAGACATTATTCTGTATCTTGTTTGTCTATCCATTATTTTTTCATATATATATATATATATATATATAAGGAAAAAAAAGTAAAGACATAATGTATGCACATGTTTGGGAAAGAATTACGATTTCTGGACATTCCATTCCCATGTTGTAGGAAACGGATGTTTATTAGATCTTGTAAACGTGTATTTAGAAAACGTAGTTGTTTTCAAAACACGTCTTATATTGCTTTTAGTGGCGATGAACAATTCTAACTAGTCAATTCTCACATTTGTTGACTTTTTTATAGATTTGTTCAAAAAAAAATGTAAATGCTTTTCAAAACATGTCTTCTTGTATTTGTAGTGGCGACAAACAATTCAACTAGTCAATTCTCACATTCGTTGACTTTTTGATAGACTTGCCAAACTGTGATGTTCAATCCAGCGACGACAATTTTCAAATATTCTTGAACTTGCAATGTTAGGTTTGCTATGTTTATTTCCACCAATTATGTATCTTTGATATTTAAAAAAATCATAATCATTTTTTGAAAAAAGTAAGTGATTTAGTTAAGATGTTAAAAATCAAAACCAAAATGAGGAAGAACCTTCATATGCCAGAACCAACAGTAATAGAGGCCTTATCTAATCTAGACTTTAAAAAAAAAAAAAAAAGAATTCTGCCTCTTTTGGCACATTACTTTAGATAGGCCAAAAAAATAAGACTAACAAACAATGCAATGTAATCTGAAATGACTATGAGATGAAAATCACATTTGGTTTTGTGAAATCAAGGATCACTGGAAGAGACATTAATGAAAGAAACATGCCATGCCATAATGAGATGAGTACTTATAATGAGAAAGAATGTGAGAATGGTAGAGACAATGAAAAAAAATTGTACCCGAAAAAAAAAATTGTTATAATAAATGACTTTTACAAAGTTAATTTTTGCCAGACGAATACATAAACTAGTTTTACAGAATATGATAGGCGAGAAGTTTAAGAGCTGATATTTTGAATTTAAAAATGTAATTTTTCTTACTTTGGACAAAGAATTTTTTTAAAAAATTTTTTTAAGATAAAAAAGTGAATTTAAGTGAGATGAAGAGGTTGGAGTATTATAAGTAGGGATGTTGAACTTGTATCCATCTCGATTGGCCCAATTTCATTCCAGTCATACAAGACGAATCCAGTCCCAATCAAAAGATAATCGGGATGAAACTTTATAAGACAAGATAAAAAAGGAGTTCAAAACAGGATGAAATATGAGATCACCCTCAGGACGTCACATCCTGTCTCTCATCCCAAATATGATATAAATATATATTATTTTTTTAAAGAAAGTATACATTAAATATGTTAATTATATTAATATAATTTATATTTATATTAATTATAATTTCAATACTTGCTATTCTTATTTAAACTAAATTTTTTATATTAATAATTTTAATAATAGAAAATAAACAATACATGTTAATATATTCCTTTATAATATATTAATTATATTAATATAATTTATTCTTATATTTACTTATTTAATAACTTTTGTTTATATCATATTTCTTATTTTATTTTAAGAAGAGTCACTAACTTAACATATTTTAATTAAAGAAAAAGAATAATAACTTAATACTGTGCCAGACTTGTATATTGTTGCTCTTATAACCTAAAAATAAATTACAATTGCTATCATAATACATTATGTCTCATATATACTTGACTTTAAATTGTTATAATTGTAATTAATGTAATTTAATAATTATTGTTATTTATGCACTTGTATTGTTTTGATTTTAAATTTAATAAATTATGTGATTTAAAATTTTAATTAATAAATGTTATTATTTAAACTTTTCTCCCACATTCTCTGCTTTATGAAGACGATGAAACATTCCAATCCCGTCTCGATTCCTAATAAGATGAGACAACTTTTAAAACAAGATAAGATATAAGATAAAAATTCAATCTCAATAATTTTTCAAGACAGGACACAAGACAAAGATGTCTCGATTACATCCTACGAGAACACTCCTAATTATAAGTGATTCCTAATAAATGACAAAAATAGTACCCTACATGTAACGAAGTTACTTGTGATGGTGGCAGCATCCTGAAACAATCGAACTCTTGATATCTGAGCTTTGTTTGATCAGTTAAATTCTGTTCTTCACCTCTGCTTCTGCCATTACAAAATTTGGAGCTCTGATTCGTATTTCTCTTTCATCTTGCGTTGCTAGGAAGATAACAAGACTGACTTGACTTGCAGTGATATGAAAATGAACACTTGTTGGTTATACGATGATTACTAACGGAGAGTAACAGTATAATTGCAGGTCGCTCGTGTTCTTCGCATTGAAGTAGTCTCAAATTGAATCAATTTTTGATGTTGCTGTCGTCCTCACTCAACACACAATTTCTTCCCTTCCGATGCGCCACCACAACAAACGATGATTAGAATAATCTAATCAAGTCCACACTCAAATTTGAATAAAGAAATATCAGAATCAGTATTGATATGATCTTTCGAAACAAAATAAAACAAAATAGAATGAAGAAGATGAGCGTTCCAGAAAGCTTCGATGGCTATGGAAAAGAAGGGATCGCCATTCACAATCGTAAAAGAAGAGATCAGCGTTATCAAGTGAAAAACAGCACAAGGCGACACAAGATCAAATCAGAAAGCTGAAAGAAGATGAAGAAGCAGAGAATTGAATAAGCAAAATCTGAAGGAAATGATGGAGATGGTGGTCAGCCCAGAGACGACGAACCAGATTGAAATGGAAAAGACTAGCCCAACCCTGGATTAAGTAACCATGTCTGACATTTAATCGATTTTCCTTCATGTCAGGGAGAGGATTTTGATTTTCCATTTTAAACGCTGAATGACCTCTCTCGTAGGAAAATAACGCATTTTCCATTTCCCAAGCCATATTTTCTGTCTAAAAACAGGGCGTAACAGCTTTCAGGCATCCAAAGGGGCCGTAATTAATATTCGAGGACCACGATGCAACCCAACTTCCCGTTACTTGAAATGTAAGGAAAAAAAACAAGAAACTGGAGGGGTAACTCGTAGCTCTAGTTATAACCCAATTCTAACTTTTCAAGAATGAATAGAGGACACTTATGGGCAGCAAAATATTTCTTTAAAATATGAGCCTCTCTAAGAGCAGGCCTTCTGAGTGAAGCAGATCTGCTAAGACTGCAAACTGCAGTTTGTCATACATCAATTGAATGGTTAGAGCCATTGCAAGTTTAAATTACTTGTTTTTTCATGACTTGACTGTTTTAAAAGCCTGGATTTCTAGATATGTTTAGAAAGAATCAGAGAGTAATATATCCATGAAAAAAATATTCAAAAGGTGCTAATCTCAAGTTAAACCAGTGAAATCCGGCGAACGTTTTCAGAAGCTAGGCAGCTGTTCTGGCAAACATAAGGAACAGAAACACAATAATGGAGCAAATGTTAGTTCTACGGGTGCAGCAAAATTTTACTAGCCAACAAAACGAGGTCTCTGGATGGCATCTTCAGAAACCATTGGCAACCCAAGGTTACACATTAAGCACACCACCGATTTTTCAAAGCTTAATTATGAGAAACAATAAGAAAAAACACAACAAATTGAAGGGAAAATTAAAATACCCACTGCAGTAGATGTGAAATTATGACCAATTAATCAGTTATAACAACAATTAACTACACTTTTACCTATTCTTCCTCTGCAACTTCACTTTTCTTCTTATGCTTCTTCTTCTTCTTTTTCTCACTTCTATCATTGTCATCATCAGCCTTTCCATTGATCTCCCCAGCATTATTTTCAGCTTCTTTCTCCTTCTTCTTCTTCTTCTTCTTCTTCTTCTCCGACTTTTCCTCATCAGGTGAGGTCGCTTCTGTCTTTTCTTTGTGTTTCTTTTTCTTCTTCTCAGACTTCTCCACATCGGGTGAACCAGCCTCTGCTTCATCAACATCCTTGTCCTTCTTTTTCTTCTTCTTTTTCTCTTTCTTATCAATTTCAATCTCCACCACATCCTCCTTAACCTTCTTGATCTTAACTACTTCTTCCTTTTCAGATTCTTCAACTTCTTTTGTTTTGGCCTTCTTAGTGGGCACTGGAGCAGGACTATCAGTGCTTTCAACTAGTTTTCTTTTACCCTCTTGCCCATCCTCCTTTCCCACTAAGGCAGTCTCCTTCTTGCCGGCATCTGGTTCAGATGATGCATGCATACCAGCAATGATAGAATCCGCACCAGTTGGTAAAACCACATTCCTCAGCCACTCTTGAGGAGTATTCTCGTTTGGCTTCCCACGCTTATCTAACTTCCCTTCTGAAATCAACTTCTTTTTCATGGCTGCTCTTGGTCCTAGACCCCATTTCCTTGGATAAGTATCTCTATCCATGACAACTCTTTTGATCTTTGCAACCACACCATGATCACAAGTAGCCATTACAGCAGTAGTCATCTCTGCAATCCCCAATGCAATTGCTTCACCTTTTGTAGTCATTAGCACCACTTCCTCCCCTACCTCAATATCATTCTCAAACCTAAGTAACCCTGGAATCATCAGCTTCGCTCCATAACAAATGGCATTAACAGCAGAATCCTTCACAACTAATCTCTTATAACTCGTTAACAATACTTCCAAAGGCATAATAACCCTTCTCAAATAGCTCTCATCTCTATAGTTATCATAAACCCATTGAGCATCCAACACATCATGCATAGAAACCATATTATCTTTCTCACCTAGAATACCCGAACGCACCCTTCTAAGCTCCTGCATATGGCCTCCCACACCAAGAATCAAACCCAAATGGACACACAGAGTCCTCACATACGTACCTGCCTCACAGGAAATCCAAAACACAACCAAATGCTTATCAGGATCGTACTCAAGAAGCTTACTTTCATATATTGTCCTGATCCTAAGCTGCCTCTTCACCGCAGAAATCAACGGTGGCCGCTGAAACACAGCTCCAGTAAGCGTCTCAAGTGCACGAGCCACTTTTGCGACATCAGGCACCGCAGAGTGCAATCGAGCGACACAAACGTACTCTTTCCCAGCACCCTGCTGCGATTTCACCAGACGCGTGGCTCTATCAATGCAAACTATGAGGTTGCCGGTGACCTTAGGATCAAGAGTACCACTGTGACCCGTTTTCTCGACCCGGAGGATCCGTTTAATCCAAGCGACGACCTCGTGAGAAGAGGGGTTCGCGGGTTTATCGAGATTCATGACACCGTACTTGATGTACTCTGAAAGAGGTCGCTTGAGAGGGGAGCAACCGGAGGGAATAGGAGTATAGTGTCCGGTTCGCACATTGAGGCGGTCGTAGTTCTTGAGGAGAATCGGCCATTGAGAAGTGTCGATAGCGGGAGTATAGCTCTGGGGTTTGATCAGGAAGTCGGAATCCTGAACGTCGGCAGCTTCGTCTTTGTTACGGTGCTTCTTCTTCTTCTTGTCAGTGCGAGAAGCTTCAAGCTCAGTCATGGTAGCTAGCTTGCTCAGAGAGTGTAAGAGAGGAGTAGGGTTTAACTGTGGCTAGGGTTTTTGGTGGAGGCGAGGAAATAAAAGGCTCTCAAGGGACATGAAAATTTATAGGGTTTTGAGGGTTTGGGAAAATGAAGATGAAGGAGAAGATTTGTGGGGCTGCTACTTTCTTCATCGACCCTGCAGAAATCGGCAGTGACATATGAATCAGTTTAAGCCCTAACCCAATTTGAAGCCTAGTACAAATTCATGGCCCAAAAAAGAAATCCTAATTTTTGAAACCACTCGTTAAACCCGATATAAGCCCAAATAACCATGCTTGGTATAAACTTTAAAATATAACCTTTATCAAAGGGAAAAAAAAACTTCAAAATATAACCAATTAAAGCCTGCAAGAGTGGTAAGAACTTTCATTTATCTGAGCAAGTCGTGGGTTGAATCACAACCTTTATATATATATATATATATAGAGTAATTTATTTAGAAGAGATCTACATTTTACTTTTCATATCTCAAGAGAGATAATCTCTATTGTTAGTAAAGTTTACTTTTTATGCTATGAAAAAACAAAATTTAACACATAAAATGAAATGTCTGTATTTAATACTCAGCCATATTTTGAATGAGATTATTTTTAGTAGAACACCTATCTGTAATAAAAAAAATTAAAAATATAAAATTCAAACATGTCTTCATTCGCAAATTACAAGCTTCTTTCAAACTCTGTATTTTTCTCTTTATTCTATTATCATTATATTTATATCTTTCATTTATCACTTTTTCTTATTATATTTAAATTTGAATTTTAAATTTCTCAGATAAAACCTCATTCAAATCAATATACTCGTCAGTTACAAAATGTTCACCAAATTAATGTTTGGAGAAACATTTAGTACTTTTTTAAAATAAATACTAAATTATACTTTAATCTATACGACACTCCTTTTTTTCAAAAAAAAAAAGGAAAATTTATTAAAAATCATAAAGGTTAGTCCATACATCTACACTACACTTTAGGTGTCTCTTTAAGCATAACATTGTAAGTTCAGTGCCCCACACATGGAGTGAGTTTATTCCGTGGTATGAAAGTATCACGGAATCTATACTCACTTTAATGTTTAACATACTACAAAAAACTTTAATGTTTAATCTATACTCACTTTTGAAGATAAGATTCAGTATTTTTTTTATTACATACATGCATTTTCTTATTAGAAGAAATTGTGTTTAAAATACTATTAAATATTAAATATGAATATATTTTTCAATAATAATGAGAACTTTGGTTGGAACGTCTTTGTATATATGATTCCGCAAGTAAGCTCTGGGCTGGGCTGAATCTTGTAAGGATTCGGCCTACAAATAAAAACTTTAGCAACTATATTTTTAAGCACATGTTGGTCTCATTTAATTCAATTGAACCACTTTGGAATAGATCGAAAATGAAATGAGTTTGAATTAATCTTCAAAGCGTAAAATTCAAAGCGGACTTCGTTATTGGTCTAACTTTTTTTTTTTTATTACTTATAAACATTCTTTTATTAGAGATAATTTATTTTTAAAAAAAATTAGAGATAATTCTATTCAAGACATAGTTAAGCACAAAATATAAGCACGTCTTTCAATAATATTTAAATATTTGCTTGTCATATTATGAGAGACTAATCCTTTCTATTAGATTTAATTTTATTTGATTTATTATTGGTGTAACTTGATAGAAGGAAGAAGAAATTGATAGTCAATGCTTGTCACTTTTCCAAAATTCAATTATGAAAGCAAATCTCATGGTTTTTTAAAAATTTATCTGAACACCTATATTTTGATAAAATCAATTATGAAAGCCACAAACGTGATTTTCTCATAAGCAATTCTCAAATGCTTCCACGTTTTGATTAAATCAATTATGCTTAAGTCAAGCCTATAAATCAATTTTATTCAAACTCTGTTTTACTCAACATTAATCCAAATGCACCTTACGAACATATTAAAATGTATCAAGAAAAAACTAATGTGCTTTAGTTGAATGGTAAGAAACTGACTAGCCAAAAAAAAAAACGGCAAGAAACTCAGATCTTATGTACTCAACTAAATTATGGGCTCTAAGTATGGTTAACACATATAATATGACTTATTATATAGATCTTATAATTTGTATGAAATAATGTTTTCATCTATTTTGATACATACATATATATATATATATATATATATAAAGTTAGAGCCAACGCTCTTCTGACTTAGTGACCACTGAAACTATGCTCAACCTTTGTAGTGCATGAATGCAGAGTATTGGAGATAATGTAACCCATTTATTGAACGCTTCTAGTGAAAGGGATTATGACTATATAAATACAATATATTGGGTTTGAGTTTGTATAAATGCAGAAAATATTTTTGAGGGAGCTCCCACTAATTAGCCTTGGCAATACTTGAACTAACTTTGATTAAAGTTTCCATAAACTAAAGTTTACAAATTGAAATTGAAGTAAAAATAACGAAGAAATGCTTACACACTGATCTTTATTTTGAATCCAGAAGTTATTTCAACCTAATTTTTGTTGCATTTGTTGTGTTTGTTATTCCCACAAACGCCCAAACTTTCAACCTTTCACTTGGGAGGATTAAATAATTTTTCCCTAACAATGAGTTGAAATGAAGGGATGAGATTTTGAATATTATAGGAGGCAATAGAAAGAATAGTGGAAGGGACAGGTTATATTGAATAGCTGATCATATTTCAAATAAAAATTATTTTTAATAAAAAATATATGTAAGTAATATTAGGAAAAAAAAACAAGAAAGAATAGCATGGCATCATATGGAAGAGGGATTGATTGAATGAAAATTTACAGAAGTAAGTGAAGGAACGGATGAAGAATGGGAGGGCAAAACCCAACGAGGAAGGGCAATAGCATGTGAGGGTTAGGGTTGGGGTCTACGCGGCTCAAATCTCATCACTCATCTCTCTCTCTCTCTCAATACTTTCTCTTTCACTTTTTTCACCCAACAAAAAGTCAACCAACCCTCACCACTACATTACATGTGTCATTATTTATACCCTTCTTTGTTAATTTTCTTATTATTTCTTGTCCATGATGTAGCATGAATGAAGTCATTTTAATTGAATTATGCTGTTTTTTTAAATGGTTATAATTCAATAATATTAATTTTTAAAAAAATATCAAAATATTGTATCTAGTCCTTGTTATAAGCGGACTTATAAAAAAGATGGACATTACTTGTTTATGTCACTTGATATCTTATTAATTAAGTTTTTTTTAATATCGCCTCTATTTAAAATCATTGCCCATGAAAAAATATAATGTAAATAAATTTAAAATTTTTTATTTAAATATAGAGAAAATTAAAAAATTATTTTTTTATAACAAATTATTTAAGTGAGTTGGGTTACGAGACTTACTAATACCAATGCATGCCTCCAAATTCAAGAGTATTAATAAAAATATTTATAAATTATTTATCAATAAAGTTCTCACATCAAAAAGGGAATTTGATTTTACCACTTTGTAAGTCATGAATTAAATTTTTATTAGTAAAAATAACAATTTAATCATTTCTTATTAATTCTAGCAGGATGACTGTAACTACCTTATACTTTGGGTAAAAAAGTATTTCATAAATATTTTTAATTAAAAGTTGCTGGCCTTTATCAGAATATTTATTGGTTATTACTTATTACTCCTTGCTCCATTGAGGGCTTTTTTAAAAAAAAATCACACCTGAGGCCTTAGAATGAAAAAAATAAAACCTAAGACTTAATAATATATTTTGAATTGTTTTTGCAGGCCCAAAAATCCTAAATTATTTTTTTATGGAAAAAAAAAACACATTTGCTCTTAAATATACAAGCTATTTATAATGAACGAACATTGTATTGTTTAGGTATGAATCTTATCATGTATTTTACAGATATTGTGTTAAACATGCATTTGGAAAATTTATATGATATTATTCAATTTAGCCATACAGATTATGTATAACAAACAAACATTAGTTTGTTGATGTATAGACCGTATCATGTTCTTTGTGGGCATTACACTATACATACGCCTAAAAAATTTGTATATTATCGTTCAACTTAACCACATGAACTATGTATAATAAATAGACATTGTGTTATTTAGATATGAACTTTACTTTATCATATTTTTTTTTACAGATATTGTATTGCACATACACCTATGAAACTTGTACATTTAGAGCAAATATGTCTTTCCACAAAGAAACATATTTGTATTTGGAACTTTTGAGCCTACAAAAATAATTTAGAATGTATTGAGCATTAGTTGCAATGTTTTCCATTCTAAGAACCTAAAGTGCAATTCTCCTTTTTTTTTCACCCTAAACAAAGGTAAAGATGATGATTCTCGTTAAACTATATTTTAACATTCTTATTCTATGTCAAGGGTAATTAACAATTATTTTCTGAAAAGGAGTAATGGTTGAATAATATTATACTACACCAGTATAAAATTCAAAACTACAAACTTTTAACAAAAAATAACAATATTGTATATCTTGTATAATCAAGGAATTTAGCTCCTTCAAAGTAAGGGCTCAAATATGTACAAGTCTTCAACGGATTAAGAATGTAAGAGACTTGACCTATTCAATAATTTTGCTACATAAGATATGCCTCCAAGACAAGTGTTGGAATATCAGTTGTTAATCATGATTAGTTATTAGCTTAAGCCTATAAAAATAATAATAATACTTAGACGTTTAGATAAGGAGGTTTAATCATACCTAAAAGAGGAAGGTTAACTTAGTTCTCACCTCACCTCATGTTGGTCTCTAAAATGGAGTTTGTTTATCATCCAAGTGGGTTGATTAGATTTATAAATCCTTTAAGTAAAGGACTATGATGACATAATGTTGTAGCATCTTCGTCAATGCGTGTTCAATCTATTCTTCTCTCAGTTTAACTTTGTGTAATCTTAGCAAGAAGTAATATGTGAAAATAGAAATGAAATATCATCAAAAACATGAGAACAATCAACAATGATGATGTTTGCAGGTTTCCTGTGTTGGGGCAGGTGTGATACAGAATTGTATTCTCAAACAATACAATACACTTGAAACTCTGAATTAAATGATTAGATCTCGAAATCTTTTGTTACAATTTTATCAGATGCAAACGCTGGTTTGAA